TGAAAATAAGGAGACCGGAAGAGTTTTGGCTGTGAATTCAAACGGGTCCATCCTTCCCCGGCTTTCACCGCTGTGCGCTCTGTTGCTTAGCAACCATGATATTTTACACACAGAGCAGGAAAACAATGAATGCCAAACTTTTCACTGCTGTTTCTTTTAAATGTATTTTCTTTGTTTTATGGTAAAGTGAACAAAGACTAAAGTGATGAGAATCCAGAGCGGAATAAAGGAGCCAACCAGCAGGAACTAATAAAAGCAAATGATAGAAAAAGGTAGAAGTCAATCTAAACAATGTATCTATAAAAAATAGATCTGCCAAATCTCTTATATTTAACAACAAAAAATACTTATTTAAGCATATTGTGCAAAACAGCAATTGAAAAATAAAAATCCTATCAGATTTATAGCCCCCCCCTAACCCATTTAATCAGTAACAGATAAAAACCTTTAGATAAACCATAAACAAGATGAACAGAATATAATATTTAAGACACTTTTAGAACAGAACAATTCACACCACTGACCGCTAGATGGCGCCCAGCAACCACGATCCACCGTAATGACGTCAGTCAGACGTTCGAAAAAGAAGCGCGAGCTGAAAGTAGAGCCGCAGGTCGATTGTTTTGCTGAACTTTGGGACTTGAATCATTTCGCTGTTTTTTCAGAGAATGTCTGTTTTAAAACCTTTTAGCAAACTTCCTAATCTGGACACGGCCAGCATCCTGGTGAGTTAATCTGTTCCTCCTGCTCAATAAATGAACACTTCATCCCTGGATGGACATCCAGCCATGTTTGGGAGGATTTGCTGCCTGTTTGAAAACAGCTTTAAAGTTGCGGACTGGTTCTGCCTTTTCCTGCAGCTGGTGGAGAATGAGGAGCAGGTCCAGCAGGGATTAGCAGAGGCTCTGGTGGAGGATTCGGCCCAAGCTGTGAATGTGTGAGTCCCCTAGCCTAGCTAAGCCTAGCCTAGCCTAGCTAAGCCTGGAGCTCAGGCTGTTTTAGCAAAGCTCGCCTTGTTGTGTTAAACTGCAATGTTTTAGCTGCATCCAGATTATAATCCAGGTTTTTTCTCTGAGCTTTTAAAGCCAGCAGAAGGTGGTGATCACTCAGAGTTAGCTTTGTTCACTAATGGTGCTCCTGCTTCCTCTCTGCATGGAGCAGGAGACTAGCCAGGAGTCTTCCTCTTCCTCTGGAGAACGAAAAGACTCGACCGAGGATCGACCTGGTGGTGTTCATCCTTAATCTGACCTCAGACAAGAGGTAACCTCACACCCACGCTTTAATCTCAGCACCTGAACAGGTGAGGCCTTTTTAATCCAGGGATTATCTACTTTATAAAGCATTGATTTAGTCTCCAGGGTTTTATGGCAGAAACAGGTTGAAGATAATCAAACATGTTTTCAATAACAGATTTAAGTTCAGTTGCACACATTTAAAAGATCATAGGAACCTGGAAGGTGAATTCACCTGGAGACAAGATGGCCGCTATACTTTATTCCATAATAAGGACCCCAATACAGTGTCTGCTTACCACTTTCTATAAGCATAAACGCTAAAACTCCTTTTTTTCACAGTTTCAAGTCAGCAAACGAGTCTCTAAAGTATCTGGATCCTGGATACTTCCTGGGGAAAGTCTGCTTCATGGTTACTAACGGTAAGAAGAATCCTTCACACAACGAAGCCACAAGAGAAGAAGACTTCTTATAAAACGTTAGACAGAAGCTGCAGAGAAAAAAACGTTTCTGACACGTTTCTCCGTGTGCGTTCTGTAGCTCGCTATGCCTCGGGCAACATGGGAAGGCTGGACGCTGTCAGGAAGATGGCCGCTTCGCTCCACTGCCCCCTGCTGTTTGCAGAGGTTCAGGTTTGTGCAGCAATTCAGAATTTTAGAGGCACAGAACAGTTAATGTGATTGGATAATAACAATGCTAGGTCGTAATAGACGTTATTGGATAATAACAATGCTAGGTCGTAATAGACGTTATTGGATAATATAATATTTGATTTCTCAA